ATGACTTGAATTTCGTCTTTGCGTGCCGTTGATCTCAATAATCTTATCGCGTTGTAAAGAATGCAAAAAAATTCTTGTTTGTGCTTATATAATTATGCAATACAGTTAGATAATGAACGCCCGACGACACGCTCGTTGCAATGAGTTGGCGATTTATTAGTTATTGTTAATGTATCTGTAAATTCATTTAAACCATCTGTGATCGTGCGAGGCATTGATTAATGATGTTGTAAGTACATTGCATACACACACACACACACACACACACACACACACACACACACACACACATATTTTATATATATATATATATACATATACTTTCGTTGTATATTTTGAAACGAGATGACAACATATGGACTTCTACATAGAAATGTGGATGAAAGTTACAAAAATGAGTAAATTTATCAATTATAAATATCTAGTAAATTCGCTCATTCTTATAATTTCCACCAAGTTATGTGATAAAATAATCAAACCTCTTCTAATAAACGAGAATGGATTGAAATCGATGAAATGGAAAAAAAATTTTTTTAATTACGTATTCGCGAATGTTAAAATGAATCATTTTCAATCCGAATGCATTTTCAATCCGAATGCATTTTTATTCATTTATAGAAATTGGATGAAGCACATTTCTATGTCTTTCAATCCAAAAATAATATCAGCTTTTCCTTGCCTTTCAATTTAAAATTCTGAATGCAGTTTTTCAATCCAATTGAATCCAATTTAATCCAATTAAATACAAAAAAGGTTTTATTATTTCGGATAAATAAAATTTTATTCCATTTTTAATTCATTCTCGTTTACTGAACTGTTCAAAGTCTGATGTTTTCGAAGAACTGATTTCAGTGACCTATCCGGTCAAAAATTCGCACGTAATTCAGAAAATCTTGCATTAATTTTTTATTGCTATACTGGGCGTTTCATTATATTCGCTGCAAGTATACTGAAAATATGTATATGTAACGTGAATAAATTTTTAGTATTCACAGTGAATAAGGAACACATTCCTAAAGATCAAATATTTATTTTGAAACGAGATAAAAATTACAAAAATAAAATTTACTACAGATTAATCAATGAAATTATAGATACTCTTGTAATTTTGCTCACTTTTGTAATTTTGACCTCATTTCAAGATACATAATCAACCCTCTGGACTGTACTAAAACTTTTATTCTCGATTTCATCACATTTCAAATATCTATTTTACTTCAAATACAAAAAGTTTAGTTATGAAATAATAAATTTCTTGTTATCAGGATCATAGATTATGCACTGATAAGCCTTATGTCTACAATGTGAGAAATCGCTCTGAAATCTTGGACGGAGAAAGAATTAATAAATCATAATTAAACAATTGGATTATTTGATCAATATGATTGTTCAATTCTTTTTCCAACCATGATCTCGAAGCATTGTGAATACAAGAGATCTATTTTTTTATAGTGACATACAAGAAAGCTTATGTGCACCGTGAAAATAGCCGAGTTGACAAAAAACATCTAATAAAGGTGCTCTTTATTTCTCTAATGTATTTATATATTCTATTGGCCAGTATTCATAGTCAGTTCTTATATTCAAGAACATCTCAAGTTCTGTCTTGAAGTGTCACAAACCAATCAAAAGACCGCTTTAATGTCTTAAGACATTACTTAAGACAATCTTGAAATAAGAACAGACTATGAATACCGGCTTTATTGTTATACAAGACTGAGAAAATAACTCCTATATCGATTGTCTCTTTTGGCTCGTCAAAAATCTTCTTTTTCCCTCCTTGTAAGTTTTCCAGTACATTGTAGAGTTTATTCATTTCTATAGCTAAACTAATACAATTTTGGAACTTAAAGTGAAATAGATATGCCTACTTCATTTTAAGAAATTGAATGAGAAATGGAATTTTGAATAATAATAAACAAACCTAAGGCTTTAACCTTGATCGAGCAGTATATATGGAGGAATGTATTCAAAATTCCATTTCTCATTCAATTTCTTATAATAATAGCTAATCTTGAAGTATATTTCGTGTTTTTTTATTGATAACTATAATCAATCTTTATGCAATCAGTTCTTATATATATTTAATATCATCATAATATATGATGATAAGTCTTAAGATGCCATAAACCAATCACAGAGCCGTCAACATTTTAAGACTTATTAATTAATATAGCCTTAAAATAACAATAGACTTATTGGCCTAAATTTGTTAGCTAAAAAATTGTTTCTTGTATGTGTTCTTACTCTAGAAAGGTCTGCATATATTTCGTATATGTGCATAGATAAGATAGTCATAGAAGTCGTCGAAATATTTATGAAAGAGATAAAATGTATCGAGATAGTATAATAGTATTTATCAAAATAAAAAAATTTGTATACATATATGTCTATAATAATTGATATATATATACATAAAATATTTATATGTGTTCAGTAGGAAAAAATCGAAGGATTCCTAAATTATTAAAACGAAAATCAAGCGTAACAAAATTGCGATGGATGCTTTGTTTTTTAGTTAGAAATATTTTAATATTCACGTGATTAAGTATTTCAATATTCAAAATTGGAAAATTAAGAATAACAAAATTTCAATGGAGGCTTTATTATAAATATCTAGAAATTCACGTACTTTAGATGTTTCTTACATGAATATTTAAACATTTATAATTAAAAAAAAAATGAAACTTTAATTACAATTTTATTGCTTTTTATTT